CGAGAAGTGGTGGATAGGAAAGTGTAGAAAGATAGAGAAGACTGCGGATATTAGTAATAGTCGCAATCTTTTCCATCTGATTAGGAATACGGGCCTAGAATGCCACGACGAGCGATGTTTGCCGAGGTAGGTAGCGGTTGGAAAAGGGTTAAGTGTGGTCAACCTAATACATGGCACGAGGGTATGGAAACCTTGACCAGGAGCATGGTTCACATAGGTCCCTTCAGGCTTCCTGGCTGAGAACCTCGGAATAATCCCATCCGGTGGTTAGAGAATCTGCGTGATATGGCTGAGTGTCGCAAACGGTGGCTTTCGTGCATCTCAGTTTCTTTGCAACCCTAGACTACTGGAATTCTTCATTCTTTGTTCGACTCTACCTATACCCTTCCTGTCTTTCTTCGATTCCTCATCCAAATGGGTGGCCAAAAGACAGCAACCAAAACCGGTGCACGAAGATGCATGGTTAATGATAGTCGACAAGTCTGGAGTGTTCTTTGGTTCCAAGTATCGTGATCAGCAGGCGCACTTTCCATGCATCGTTTTGACAACTGAAATCTGTTCAAAACACGTCTTCTCAGCGTTTAAAGCACGCCTCGAAATTGTGACCAGCTTCAGGATCATAGTTAAATTCTGGGATTGAATTGGCGAGCATTTCAATGGAGCTGGACTGAAATTCATGCGTAACTGAATCTGTTGTTTTCAGGCTGAGCCGCTGCGTCAATGATTCGATCAGTTGCAATTGAGCTTCCATTTGCTTCTGTTGCGGGCGGTGATGGCCCGGTGGTAACGTCACCAAATTATCACTTCGGGGGATGTGTTCGAACCTCACCACCACCGCCTGACTTTCCCTATGGCAGAAAGAAAGAAAGAAAGAGTAACAGGCGTTAGAATTGGTCTGCCGAAAAATTCACTGAAATTTCCGATTTTCCTGTCGCCATTTTATCTTTTGTCTCGCGAAAACTGTCATTGAATCTTGTCCCACGATGCATATTCCAACGAAAGACAGTTGCAAACAGTGCCAGTCCCTATTGGTAGTGCCAGTCAAACGTGGATTGACAAAGGGGGAAGCGAGCGATACACATGGGTCCGATAACATTCTCTAGTCATTTCTCCGTGATTAGGGTTATGAGAGCGCCGATTAGTAAATTGCACAAACAACCCATGTTGCCGTCTTCTGTTCGTTACCCTGACGACTACGAACCCAGGGCGTCCGAGAAATTTGTCAACACATTCGGTGGCGGTTGAACTCAATCCTTTCCTTTTTATGAACTGCAAGCGGGGAAATCCTCATAGTCACGATGATCTAGTGTTCAGTGATGAAAATGCAAACGGCGAGAATTCTCAGGTAACGCTCGTTACCACGCTCCAGATAAAGATTTTTGGGTGATTGGTTCCATCCAAACCCAGAAGGTGAATCAGCACAAAATTTGCCTTCTCAGGATAAATAGCAACCCTTCTTTCTTTCTTTCTTTCTTTCTTTCTCATGATCAGAAAACCAGCAAATCCACCCTGCAATTTCTTGACCTCACTATACGCCTTTTTCCGCGTATAACCAATTCGGATTGCTCTTTCCTCTATATTTGTTCTCGTTTGTATAACAAATAACCATACACCTTCTTGCACCGGTTTTCTTTGCTATCTTATCGCTACCTATTTTGATGAAGCAGTAGAATGACAGGAAAGTTGAAGTAGAGTCGAAAAGAAAATGTCGAATTTCAGTAGACTAAGGTCGCCAAGAAATCCGGAAGATGTACGAACGCCAATTTTGCGAAATTCTGCCAAATTAATCAGTATCTGATCACCGGTTAAGATGATCTCGATTTCCCTATCCCGGGAGCCTAACGCGACCTATGCAACCGGGTGTCCTGGTTAGGGTTTTCAAACCCCCGTTTTAGGTCTGAGTTTGACCATTTTTGATTTTTTCCACCTATCACGTATCTCGGGAAACAGCACACTGTGGTAGTCTCTTTGGTGATATGCGAAATACGTGCTACAACCAACATAGTCCGTGGAGGTCGATTGTTTTCTCCAATAGATGACTGCGATTATCTAAATCTGTGCAACCAACCTCAGCATTGTTTCTACGGTTTCCTCACCAAACTTGTGCTGTGTTGCGGTGTTCGGATACAGTCTATCTTTGTCCTACTTTCTTCACGGCCAAGTCTGTGCCTCGTACAGCAGAGCTGACCGAACTGTTGCAGCATACACTGGATCCTTCACAGAGAGCCGCGACGGTGCCACAGATACCTTTGATCGACAAGTGCCAATCGAGCTTTCTGTGTGTCCCGACATTTCATCTGTGATACGTCCGCCGAGTAAGATGTGGCTGACAAGGTAACAAAATCCGTTCCTTTTCTCTATTACATCTCCATGCGCTTTATTTGCTGTAGGTAATCCGGGCTGGAGGAAACCGCGCGGAGGTCAACAGATAACGTAGAAACGAGGCATGAAGAAATGCACAGAGGGATTAGGTAGAGTAGGTGTCTCTCGTCTTCCAGGTTGGGGTCCGAAAGACTCCACAACTGGTTGGTTGGAGACACTGAAGGATATGGCAGCGAACCGGCAGCAATGGCGTTCTTGTTGTCGTTTCTTATCAGGTCAGAATGCTTGAAACGGTATGTATGCAGAGTTTGATTGCGTACTGTGTGTTGACCATAGTGGCTCATCATCTTCTCCCTCCCTCAAAGTAGATCCAACCCCTGTCCACCTTAAATTTTACCACTGACCTTGTATGCATTGTGAGTTTGGCAGCGGTCAGTGAAGTTCGCTTCACTGTATTTCACCGTACGATGATGGTGATGATGTTTACATCTCCATTTAGAGTCAGACCGGGAGCTAGACTAACCCAGTCCCGTAGAAATATTTTACAGTTTGAAGGTGCCAAACGCACGCCGAACATAGCTGCGCCAGCACCCCAACTAACCGGAAAAGTTTGCCACTTACCTAGGTCCTCACTTAGCAGCCCAGTGGCATCTGTATAATCCAGATTAGACAGTCTACCACCCGGAAGCAACCCGAGACCGCTATTCGCGCACGAGGATACGACCGTTTGCATAACGAACAAAGTAACAAAGTTAAACAGAAAAGGATAGAGGGCGAAACCCTATCGAAAGTGCTGTAAGCTCTGACGGCTTCAGCTTTTAGTTCAAAGAGATCGGAAAATTGAAATTAACTTCTCGGGTATATCCTTCAAAGAGAGTTAGTACCAGAATCTCGAGCGGTCGACTGAATCAAAAGCCGCCTTCAGATCGAGGATGACAGATTTCGGGTCTACGAGAGAAATGTCTGTTTTAGAATTTGGTGAATCGTCAGTGTGCTCTACACAACCTCGACCGGGTCTAAAGCTAGCTGAGACAGATGTCGAGGAGAGTAGCGGTAAGCTACAACATGAACGTCAGTTAGTGAAGCCATCCGAAGTAGAACATAGAGTGGATAACGTGGGTATGTTGTGTGTGTAATGACTGTAAACGCTGTATGCCGATTCTGAGAAAAAAAGAGCTTTGTGTGAGTGTACAAGTCTGTGGCATATGCGACTTTCTAGGTCCATGGGTACATTGTGGGCGTGATACTAACCGGCTGCCCAGGTCGAAGTAGGTTTCCTGGAGGGACCTTACCTAGAGCCTTCGGTTAAAAAAACATGTCCCACAAGCAGTGGAGTGGAGTAGGGAGTCCAAGATCCTCCGGAAGTCGCTGACTGGTGAACCATTTCATACACCTTTCGGTGATGGTCAATCATCCATGATACCCAGATTGCCCTTGAGCCGCACACTTGCCGGTGAGCGCCATGGTGATCGACTCCAAAGGTTAGCTTTGGACACCGGTTCGGGTTGCACTCATGGTTGGTGCCAGTATGGACTTCTTACGATAAGTGTGGGTGTTTTGGAATCATTAGTGTGGCCAACTCCCCTAGACTGATTACCATTGGTCAGTCAAGCCGCTGGAAAACCCCCGGCATTCGCCTTTGCTCTCTTTGTTGTTACCTATGCCACGAGAAGGCAGTTTATAGGACTACCTTAGCAGTAGCTATTTGAAGCACGTGGTCGTTGGGGAGCATTTCTAGAGGAGTTCGGGATGAGTGGCCATTCCAGAGCCTGAGACACCGATTCCCGATCACACTGAGGCATTTGGTCGCAACTCCGTGAACAACATTCGCTAGATTGTTGTCTAGCATAAAAAAGTAAATGTGGGTGGTCTTCATTCTTCTAGTTGTATTTCTGATACGAGAGGGAGACGAGTGGATGTCACATCGAAATGTATACCATATACTGTATGGCGTATTATAATTCAGTCCGCTTTCTTCTATCTTTCGCAACCAACCCTCACTTTTTGACCTACTTTTCAAGCCTTAAAACTCTCAGGCAACTTGTTTTTGGACCTATAAAGCTCGTTTCCGCGTCTGATTTCAAAGTAGAGTACCGCCAAGTTGTGTGATGTGATATTTGCTTTTCGATTGATCAATTTTTTGTTTTTCTCATCCTATGCAGTCAATCCCGTGCTCGAGATGTGATATGTGCCACTGAGTCCCACAGGCCAAATTACCATGTGCTTGCTGGTTCAGTCGCGACCCATTACACGAATGGTCTTCATGTACACTGTGCTGGCACTAAGTTGTACCGCGATATCGGAGAATGAAATTGGTAGGTTCCGCTAGTACTTAATGAATTCAACCTGTTCAGTTTGCCCGCGGGCGGATATTCGTAAACTCACTTCGCTGGAACCGATGACTCATTGCACTGTAGTTGAAGGAGATTTATTGATTGCATTTATCTGGCTACCGCATAACGTGTCGTTCAATCAGTTGCGCGAAATTACTGGCTCTTTGCTCTTGTACGATGTGGATGGATTATCCAGTTTGTCTAAATTATTTCCCAAACTGAACGTGATCCGAGGCCATTCGCTTATCTACAACTATGCGTTGGTGATCAGAGAGACAGCGCTTCAGGTGAGTTTTTCTCTCAGCCACTGTTTTTCCTTGCCCTATTCAGCTAAAACCCCTGATCATTTTTCAGTCTTCTTGGGCAATTAAGCCAATCCAATAAGGCGCACAGATAAAGCTTGATCTTCTAACTTTCTCTTAAGGGTGTTTTTCCGAATTCGTACAAACAGTTTCATGAAAGTCCCTAGGAAGAAGGTGGCAGTAACCTCGAAAAGGATGATGATGATCATCGTAGAGATACATACAATAAAGCGAACTTCACCAATCGCTGCCAAGCTCACGATGTACACAAATCAAGTGATAAAGCACGAGATGGAGAGCCTCAGTACGGTGGGGGGTGGGTGTCTAGGGTTGCGGCTGGTACCCTGCTGTTGCAACTCGCGAAATGCTCCCATGGAACCAAGCGTTTCGAATAGCCTCTGCTGAGGAAGCCCTACTCACTGCTTTCTCTTAGCGGAGGTGTTTTCGCACCAAAGTGAGAGGACGAAAACCCGACGTATAACCGTGTTGATGGATCACTGGTAGTTCACCTAGGGGAGTTGGCCAAAAATCCTGATTCCAAACCAATCCTAAGAAGGAGTACGAACCACACACACCTTTCCGGTTGTGGCAGTGGTCACCGGCTCGATTGGATTCGAGGTGTATTGGGCACCTTGGACGTTTGACTCCGTCCGAAGTGCGTATGATCCGATGAACTGGACACCAGCTCCCAATGGACTGCGTTTTTCACACACCGCCTCGCTGCCTTTCGGATCAGGCTTTGGCTAGTCGAAGGCTCCGGTTGTGAATTCCTCAAGAAAATTCCTTGGCCTGGGCAACCTGGCAGTATTCAGCCCACACGCCCATCATGGAACGTTTTTTTCTTTTTTATAAAGATTATTGTACCATGATTTGCCTGGCACACAGTCTGTCCTTAGACAAGTGTGAAATGTCTAATTGGAGGGAGGCAAAGAAAGTGAACCTCTGTGATGAACACACAGAGTACACAATCGTAGTGTGCGTATATACCTTTTCAAGCATTCTGACCTAATAAGAAATGACAACAAGAACGCCACTGCTGTCGGTTAGTCGCAATATCCTTCGATGTCTCCAACCAGCCATTTGCAGAGTCTTTTGGACCTCTACTTGATCGCTCTGTACAGCTTTTCATGCCACGTTTCCATGTCGTCTGTTGACCTCCACGCGATTTCTTCCGACCTGGAGCCGCAACTGCGAATAGGCCGCGGTGCGGCGGACGATGGCTGCCCATGCGCAATACGTGTCCGAACCAGTGAAGCCGAATAATCTGAATTCGATGGGACAACGAACTCTCCATCGAATCGTTACCAAATACGTGACGACTTATCTCAGACTTGCTTACAAGCTGGCTACATTGAACCCACGCTAAACTACATAAAAATCTGCAGTCAAATAATACTAAACGAAGAATATCTTCCACGCGCAAATTTAGGGTCTCGCAACCATAAAGCAAAACTGAGCGCACACTGGCGCAGTATAAACGACCTTTCAGTTTCAACGAAACATCGTGTCTGCAACAAAGGTGTTTCAGTCCTGCGTAATCTGCTCGAGCCTTGGAAACGCGGGTGGTTACTTCATTGACTATGCTAACGTCATCTGAAATGCAGCTACCTACGTAAGTGAAACATTCCATGACAGCTAATTCTTGATCATCAAGCATTATTGCTGGGGTAGTCAAGACCCAGTCTTGTAGCATCCCTTTGCACTTTGAGGGTACAAAACGCATGCCGTAAGGAGTTACAGAACTTGAAAGTCTGTTAAGAGCGCTTTGTGCATCCTCCATAGATTCGAACAGGCATATGATGTCGTCAGCGTACTCTAAATCGCACAGCTTTTCTCCAGCTTCCCATTCAATACCTACGTTTTGGAGACCACTAAGTGCGTTCTCCAGTACTTGGTCTACGACTAAATTGGACAGGAATGGCGAAATAGGGCACCCTTGACGAACACCGCTCCTGGCTTCGAATAATTTACTTAGCCCACCGTAGACCCTTACCCCACCAGAAGTATGCAGGTACATCGACCGCAATAGGTTTACATACTTCCGTGGCATTCCTTTTATGAGCAGCGACCCCAGTAGAGCTTCACGGTCAGTTTCAGTTTTTTACAACCATTAACCATGCTTTTTCGTGCATCGGTCTTGGTTGCTGTCTTTTTGTTTTCCATTTGGATAAAAGAGCGAAATGAAGATTGGAATGTCGAAGCAAATTCAAGCGGAAGATGGGGAATACACATCGAGTAGTGTTTGGAAAATAACGAGTGAATGCACGAGCGCCACTGTTTGCGACACCCAGCCATATCACTCAGTGTAGCTAACCATCGGTGACCATCATCCCGAGGTCCCCAGCCAAGGAGCCTAACGGGGCCTATGTGACCTAGTCTCCTGGTTAGGGTTTTCATACCCTCATGCTAGGTCTTAGTTTGACCACCCTTTATCTTTGTCCAATCGCTCCCAGCCTTGACAAACATCGTTCGTCGTGGCAACCTATCTGGTGACATGTCCCAACCAGCTTAATCTATGGAGGTCGATCACTTGCTCTAGTGGACGACCGCGACTGCCTAAAACTACACCTAACCGCAGCATTGATAGTCCGGTTACCCCACCAGACACGTGCAATGCTACGTAGACAGCGGTGTTCGAACACCGGAAAATCTATTTTTATCCTGTTCCCTTAGTGGCCAAGTCTCTGCACCGTAGAGCAGGAATGGCCGAACTGCTGCAGCATACACTCGACCCTTCACAGACAGCCGGATGTCGCGACGGCGCGACAAATGTCTCAAGTTGGCAAATGCCCATCGAACCTTTTGTATGCGCGTCGACACTTCATTTGTGATACGTCCGCCGGGAGGGATATAGCTGCCTAGATAGCAAAATTTGTCTACTTCCTCTACTACTTCTCCAATTAGGGTGAGACTGGGCGCTGGATCAACCCAATCTTGCTTCACGGTCAACTGAATCGAAGGCTACATTTAGGTCAAGGAACACTGCGATTGTTGGCCGAAGACGTGTGTGAAGATTTGGTCGATGCAACCGCGACCTGGTCGGAATTCGGCTTGCTGTTCGCGGATATTCCTCTCCCTTAAGAGTGTCAGGTGGCGAAGTATCACAGAAATCAACACTTTTGTGACTATCGAAAATAAACTAATCCCACGGTGGTTGGCACAGTCGGTGCGTGCTCGCTTCTTGAAGATTGGGATTATCAACGGTTCACTCCAGGACAAACGGATACGGTCCTTCGTCCAGGTGCTGCGAAGTAAACCAGTAATTGAGTCGATAAGAGAATCACCACCCACCTTGAAAAGAATAGAGAGAAGCCTATCAGGTCCCGCAGCCTTCCCGTTCTTTAGTGATTGAATGCAGCTTCGTACTCCCGGTTCTCTTGGGTCCTCGCATGTTACTACCCATGGGGTTTCCGCCACAATTGCTGGAATGACTGCATTAGCACTGGACCAATAGTTTATTGTATTGTGTGTAACTTTTGTAAGCACTAGAGCTCACATTTCAGTTCAAAAAAATCATATACGCTAACCGTAACAATGTACATAATCAACGTGAAAAAAGGTTTTATAGACATGTGGACATTTCATAATCTAAGGTTTATGAGTAGACGAGCAAGATACGGTATAGGTGAATTGCAGTAAGCGGTTATTTTGGATGAAATTGGACGGAATTGGGAGCTTGTTGAATGACCAGAGCGACAACGTGTCAGTTCTGCGTGCACTAGAGGGTCCGGATCTGTGAGAATCCTCTCAGCAAATTTCACACAGGAAGTTACATGATACTCTGAAAGTTTTGAAGCCAACTCATTCACAGGAATAGAAGAGACACGACTAATAATGGTTAGACCGCGGCGTAAGACTTGATTAAACTGTTCACTAAAATGCTCTGCTCATCGATCAAGTGGTCTTTCTTTATTGTGGATACTCTGTTCTTGTTTTATCGCATTTGATTAGGGAAATATAATATATATATATATATATATATATATATAATCTGTAGTAGGCAGACGACATTGTACTGCTAAGCGACGATGCAGGTAAGTTGCAAACTTTNCCATGTTCGCTATGCGCTTTGCATCTTCAAAGTGTAAAATGTTACTACAAGACTGGGTTGGTCCAGCACCCAGCCTCACTCTAACTGGGGAAGTAATAGAGCAAGTGTATAAGTTTTGTTATTTAGGCAGCTATATCTCACCCGGTGAACGCATTTCAGATGAATTGTCGACCCACATACAGAAGGCTCGGTTGGCATTTGCAAACTTGAGACACTTGTGGCATCGTTGCGACATCCGGTTGTCTGTGAAGGGTCGAGTGTTTGCTGCAGCAGTTTGGCCAGCAGAAACATGGTTATTTGTCGACGAGATACGTTCTTCGCACATCAGGTGACGATGAAGCTCGTTCAGTAGGTCAGCGCGAGGTAGGTATTNCTGAGTAATTGGGCGGAACCCTCTCTAATCGCTTGGACCCCGGTCAACAGTCGTTTATGTGCAGTGCGTCTCCAGAGTTCAATCAGCCTCCGGAAGGGAAGCAATACCAAAAGGTGTTTGTTCATCGTATCAGCATATGCACCGACCAATTGGAGTTCTGATACCCAAAAGGACGCTTTCTACGATGAACTCACCGATCTCATTAGGATCAGTCGAAGCTCCGATATAGTTTTACTTCAACGCGCAAGTTGGAAAACTGAGCGCATCAGAAGCTTGCCTAGGCGGTAATTGTGCCCTGTGATCGAACAAATAACGGCGATAGACTTCTTCAGTTCTGCGCAGGCCATCATCTGTTCCTATCAAACACCAACTTCCTACACAACTCTCGACGGATGGCAATGTGGAGCTCCAGTTCAAATGGTATGCTAACTCAAATCGACCATTTATCAGCACGCTACCGGTAGTGTGGCTCAGTTCAAAATTGCAGGTCCTATTGGACCACTTGCGTTGAGTTTGACCACGCATTAGTTCTGATGCAGTTCACTCTCCGACTGATTGGTCGGCTACAAAACCAGCAAGCTCGGATAGCTCATCAACGATTATCTGCTCCAGCCGTTCGTGCACTGTATGAGTCAGAGCTAGTGCGTAAGCTCAGTGTGCTTCAGCGTGGTGATATAGACGTGCAGTGGAATCAGATTAGGCGAGCAATGCATTCCGCAGCGAATGTTGCTTGTGGGTCTTAGCCTCAAAGGGATGAGCTATTCACAATAGGGATCAACGATTCGATCGCTGGGCAGAATCCTTCAGCGAACAGTTCAGCTGCCTAGTGATAACCAGGCTGCTTCATCTCCTACTGAAGCTCCGTGGGCAGTGTCATGCGATCCTCCAACGGAAGCAAAGTTCGGTTTTGCATTCAAGCGCTGAAGCGAGGAAAGGCAGCAGAACCTGATGAGCCTCCCACTCTTTTCAAG